CACTGTTGTATTATCTTTAAGTTTTTTTCTGATACTGGGGTATAAATGGAATCTTCTGAATCATCACGATCTTAAGGCATTGATTAGGTGTTTCACCATAGTTGTCGACAGCTGACGATCGCTGCATACTTTACACCTGCCTTTGATAGATTTGAGACTAAACAGGCTATTGCATGGATTACAGCCACTATCTTTATTTCACCAGGGAATGCTTCCTTGTATGATATGGTAGCAGAAAAAATGCCGATATCTGACTTGTGAAAACCATGGGTTCTAACTCAAAATTACTGATGTATCACTCATTTCCACTCAAAAGAACACATTTAAATGAGAAATATCTTTCTAAACACCTGTCTGAAAATTAACGACACCGTCATGGCAACAAATTACTTACGTTTCAGCAAATCCGAACTTGGAACAGCTTCATACCATGACCATTTGTTGACATTGAAAACTTCGCTTCCTGTAAAGCTAGTTTTTGATGTATAGACATAGATTTAAGTCTTTCCAAATATTAATCTCCAATTTGCTGCAAAATATTCTGTAAAATATGAAACCCCACATATGAAGTTTGCTTCAAATACGCCAATTATTGAATGAAGATTTACATTTTTAAACATTTTAAAAGCGTTTATAATGTGATAATTTAATGAACTATAGTGCGAACATGTACAGCTACATGTAAAGATGTGAAATTTCTATTTTCATCATCAGAAAACACGGCATTACTAACATTGTATATGAAACAGAAGACGCATATCCTTCTTGAACATCTGGCGATGTTCTCTCTGCTCTTGTCAAAGGATTTTGTACAACTTTGTATATATAACCTATCTTGCCATCGTTTTGTTGTTGTTTTTTAGTTAGAACGAATATTTTGTCTGCATGTTTTTTCTCGATGAAATGTACAAATATAGTACGTTTTGATACTTGGTCGAAAGTCTGCAAGCTACGACTAAAACGTGTTGATCACAACTGCATTTTATATTTACGATAAACAAAACAAACTAACAAAATATGATTGATTCATATATTTGTTTAACATAACCTCTCTATATGCTAGATATGAACACATTTGTTTGACACCATTGAACATATGTTACATATTTCGTAAATCGTCCGGACCAAGATCCTATATTCTATATATACAAAAAATATACATGCATATTATGTATACAAGAACACAATGGTACAATTATATCGATTTCGATAAATACATAGATAAAAAAATGTTCCGACGCAATTAAAACAGATAGATTTTGATTTGAATAATTTTATATAAATATTATTTCATCGTTACAGGAGTGTGTAATGAGTGAAATGGTAAAAGAAAGATATCCAGCGCAACAATTTGTTATAATTTTTAGATAACTTAATAAAAGGCTATGTTTTCGGTCAAGCACAATGTTAAGTCACTTTGTACATTTCAAATATGTATTTTAAACAGTGAAAGAAATCCCCTTACCACCTCTGCTTGTTTCTCTTCCCAACCGTGGCGTTTTATATTTCTAGAGAAAATGGGGAACGGACAGGTCTGTGTATACTTGGTCGTATTCTTGCGCAAGGCACGTTACCCTAATTGCTTTGAATGTCACGCGACAGTTTCCCGTATGATGTTCAGTGAGGTAATCGCTAGCTATTACAAGATCTCGCTTCAAATTGAAGGGCCGATAAACCCAACAAAACACCCAAACACTTTACATTAAATCAATTAAACAATTAATGTAATTCTATTTATCATCTCTTTTTGAATTATGTTTTTTTTGTGATACATGTATACAACACAATTCATTGAATGTCGCTGAGGACGTTTCTAATTATGTCTTAATCAATGAACACCCCGTTAATCATGTGATAGACGGATTTCTGTATAAAATGTATCTATCTCGTTATTGAACTAGTACCAATAATTTACGATGGTGATTATATTTTATGTGACTCTCTTTGAGCTGTTTGACGGGTTAGAGCCCTCATCAAAACTTTTAGGCCATTTAACAGGAATGGGCTTATACATATATCATCAATTATGTAATGCAATGAATAATCATATTCAATTTACGGAAAGCAATATGTATGGGTCATTAGAACTACACAGGAATCATCAAAATTGTGAGAACACCGCTTGGTGAACCTTTAACTAGTCATAATGACGTAAAGAAAATTATCTCGACTGTAAAACGACGCCTCTCTCCCGTTCGATTGGTCTGTGTACTTAATCTCTCACTCAGATATCAAGATGGAATGTTTCTAAAGCAGTTATATCAGATCGTTAGCGGTTACAAATAAAACAGGTACCATTTGTGCGTGTGAGCCTTTTTTCTAACCCTCCTATTGAGCTGTCATGGAGACATTGACAGACACATGTACGGACATTTTTATTTTCATAAAAATAGAATTATACCACAGAGAAATGATTTTAACACATATCTTTATAAATCTAGTATGGACGCAATTCCGTTGAAATTGCTTGCACGTGCACATGCGATAAAAATCGCAGGGAAATGATATCAACAGAAATAACTGGTTGTAATTAAAAGATGGGTTATCATAGCAGGCATAGCTCGCAAAGTTTTAATGTCCTCGAGACACCTGGTTGGTAACACGAAATAAAGGACGAAACTTCGTAGTAACAAACAAAAAACCAATTATACCAAATTGCAATCTTTCTTAAACTTCGCAGAGCCTTTTTGCAGTATTTATATGAAAAGTCAGTCTAAATGTCTGTCAAAAAGTTATGTTAATGAGAGATATGGTAAGTTACTGTGTCTAACATATCTATTGTTTTTTTTCGGTTTTGTTTATTACATATCTATTTAAATGTTTGGCTATTTTGATATTCTATTCCTTATAGATTTGATTTCTTGGACCTTGCCCAGAGCCAAGTGAGAATGTAAAGCCGTCAATTTCTCAGTCTCAGGACATTTGTACACATCTGAACAATAGCACCAGAAACTGGTCACATTATATAGACATCTTTACAATGATTAAAATAGGTCAGGGATCAACGGACGTGAGATTTCTTCACTGATAACTAAGAGCGTTATGTTTTAACTATAGGTCGTGTATTATCGGACGTGAGATCTCCACAGACGGTATTATATTAAAGAGCGTTATATCTAAACTATAGGTCGCGTATAAACGGACGTGAGATCTCCACAGACGGTATTGTATTATAGAGCGTTAGATCTTAACTGTAGGTCGCGTATTAACGGACGTTAGGTCTCCACAGACGGTATTGTATTAAAGAGCGTTAGATCTTAACTATAGGTCCCGTATTAACGAACGTTAGATCTATACGGAAAATGTTGTATTTCAAGTGTCATACCTTCATAAACGTCATAAGTTTACGGACGTTGAAACTCCACAGAGCGTTACAGCTTTACAAGAAGGCGTGAGTTGACAGACTCCAGATCTCCACAGACGATTTTGTATCAACGACTATTTGAACTTTATGATAAATTAAGGATTAATTGTTACACTTTAGATAGCATGCCTTTTTAAAGATACGTGTAGTACAAGAATTACGAATGACTGAATCAATGTCTTCCATGTACCTGGCATAAACATTGTTGACGTTTATAATATGTAGCCGATACTGGGAGAGTGTGTGGTGATTTAAAACAAATATATGATATGCACTTGAAGTCTGTTTCTTAATGAAATGTGATGCATATATACCATTGGTTTTTAAGACTCCGTGGATTTGTTTTAATAATTTGTTAATGTTTTGTAAATAGTGACTAATGATATAGCTATCAAATTATCATAGTTTTCCATACAGCCCGATCGTCAACTCTCACTAACTCGACAGCGAGATCTACAACATGACAAACAAGGAGAGATAGTTTTATTAAAATGAAAAAAGGTATACATTCCGATCAAGCTTGTTGGTTACATCCTGATCAATATTTTTCGAACAAACAAAAAAACTGACCAGGAAGAATGAAGCTTTTAGAACGAATATTGATTGATGAGGACGACCGTCCACGGTACTGCTACAGTTAGTCTGAGATTGGAATCCGTGTTTTTGTTAACAGATCGCAAATTTGATATTTTCATGAATCGCCAATGGTTACGGAAACGTCTGCGCCTTTTCAGTCATGTTTTAGACCGGTAGTTAGCAGCGTGCAAGCACGTGTATAATCCTAATATGGCAGGTGTAACTTCAGCTTCTAATGATCTTATACTTCTGGCATTCTATCGTTGTGAGGAAGCATTTTTTACGAAAAGAACCTATCGGAAAGAAAAAGCAACTTAGAATATACAACAGAACCTTAATTCAAACACAAATTAGATGAAACTGTGGCACATAGGCATATAAGAGCAGAAGGAAGATAAGACCATGTGTTTCGAATGGGATAGCGTTGTTTTCTTCTACGGCCCCCGCTATAAAGATTGTGAGTCATATTACTTTCCCAAAGAAGGACAAGGTGAAGAACTGCGGACCACCAGGTGTATTTACGGTATTCAAACATATCCAGCTTCATATCCCACAAATAAATAGAAAATTTAAGATATCATATACTTTAAACCCGGAAATCGAAAGACATCTGTACGAGAAATGATACTAAATATGTGTTGTTATAAAGAAAAGGAACCATTAACACCATTTTCTCATGCTGACTTTAAATTCAAAGGTAGTTCAATTATCTTTTTGATATTTAAAAATTCTGAACTTGTGTATTTTGTGTTTCATTGCCGAGGGAGTAATTTTTGGCAACATATTGACATTTTACTGTATGTTTATTGTTCGCAGTAAATAAACAACTTAATAGATATAAAGATAAATACCAGCAGTTTGCACACATGAACAGTACTGGTATGGTATTGATGGAAATTGACCACTTATCATTGATCAATTCCGGCGAGAGGATATTAAGATCAAAACAGAAATAGATCATAAGCGTTATAGACGTGTAATAGTATTTACAAATATCACGTGATTACATCAGACATACTCTTAATAAGATTTTCACGAGAACATGTTTAGCGACGTTCACCTTTTTTAACAATATGTTGAAAATAGCGTTTGGTTTCCATCCGGAATCGATGTCCAGTAGCAAGGTACAGATAGAAATTACAAACATAGTGAGACATCCCTATTGCATACACGGCCTCGCGAACAACCATATATTTAAAATGACTCTGCCATAGCGGGTCTTTAGAAATGTTGTCGTAAGTCTCAATATTAGGAGGAAAGAAATCACCAATAGCATATAATATTGTCACTGGTAGTGTAGTAAATATTAGATAGAAAGACACAACGAGAAGCATTTTTGTCGTAGCCGATCTGTGTTTCGGTGGGGAACCATACAAATGGCGCGCCCGTCGCTTTGATCGACGAATTGTGAATATTAGAAGAACGTTCATGCCGAGAATTAACACCGGGACGAGAACAAACATGGTAGATTCTGTAACCCACGTCCAGTGTTTCCTAAACTCATCAATGCCGATTCTGATATCACAAGCATGATGTGTGTAGTCATAATCCCAAATGTACGCTTGTATACCTCCCGCAACCAACACGAACAGAGCCAGAAATAGAATAACCATGGCGGCTCTCTTCACCGTGCAGTAAATGCGACGTCCGAGAGGAAAACGGACTGATATAAACCTCTCGACAGTGAATGCCATCGTGAGCAATGGAGACATATACTGAACCGCCATGTAAATCACCGGAAACGCCTGGCAGACGACAGGTACACCGATCGTCTTAATTTCCCATATGTACTCAAGGTCAAACATCATGGACAGAACCAAAAAAAGCAGATCTGAAATAGCAAGAGAAGCAAGATAGCAACCGGAAGAGTGGAGTAGGGGGCGCTGAAGCCACATGATACACGCCAGGATGTTGCCAGGGAATCCAAACACGTACATGATGGCCTTAACAATCTTTGGAATCTCGTAAATCACAGGTAAATGTTCTTTGTAGATCACGTGCATCGCCATAAATGTTTGTACGGTTGCGTCCTCCACACCGGAAGTTGACGAAATGTTCCATGATTCCGTTGTGATGTTCATCTGAAACGAAAAAAATGGCGACAATGTCACGTCCATCAGACTAATCCTATCTATCATGTCTAGACTGAAGTCACATCAAGGCTTCCTAATGCAAATAACTATTCCCTGAAACTTTTTGGGCGAGCATACAATGCGATAAACATACGATCGCGTTACAGGCTTTCGACGCCATGAAGGAATTTATGTGACATTTACATCCCCATAAAATAGGCTCAAGTCTATAAACACGTGCCTTTATTTGTTGTATATCACGGAACCAATTTTAATTGATGTTTTTAGTCCATCCTTTTTTAATTGATACCTTTACATCGATTCTAACAAATATATGTAAAGTCTATCTGTTGTATCTATGTCAATATTTGTTTTGATTTGTATCTAGTCGCTTATTTATTTTACACAAAATGTTGCTATGTATGTTTCTAATTGTTGAATAGTGGATACTAGAAGACTATACTGAAAATGAACTATTTCTTTAACAAAAGAAGAAGAAGAAAATGTCTGAATTAATTTATAAGTGGACAGTGACACCTAACAAACTGTTGCTACACACGACATAGTGAATGATCATTACATTATATCGTTTGACTGTCCAGTCTAATTAATACTGGTACAATTTACTTTGTGTCTTCAATCCATGTATTTACCATTGAACCACCGGACGGTTTTCAGTAATAATAGACATTACAACATCAAAGACTAAAAATCATGGTGTAATAGATTGAAAAGCTAACCCTCACGTCTCTTTTCTTTTTACTATCTGGCTTTATGTATATACGTAAATGATTATAACAATACATTAAATTTGCCCACTTCCTGCTCAGCATATCAGTACAACTGGTCCCTCGGTATACTGACGTCACTGTGACAACTGGTCCCTCGGTATACTGACGTCACTGTGACAACTGGTCCCTCGGTATACTGACGTCACTGTGACAACTGGTCCCTCTGTATACTGACGTCACCTTGATAACAGGTCCCTCTGTATACTGACGTCACTGTGACAACTGGTCCCTCTGTATACTGACATCACTTTGATAAATGGTCCCTCTGTATACTGACGTCACTGTGACAACTGGTCCCTCTGTATATTAACGTCACTGTGACAACTTGTCCCTCTGCATACTGACGTCACTTTGATAACAAGTCCCTCTGTATACTGACGTCACTGTGACAACTGGTCCCTCTGTATACTGACGTCACTGTGACAACTGGTCCCTCTGTATACTGACGTCACTTTGATAAATGGTCCCTCTGTATACTGACGTCACTGTGACAACTGATCCCTCTGTATACTGACGTCACTGTGACAACTGGTTCCTCGGTATACTGACGTCACTGTGACTACTGGTCCCTCGGTATACTGACGTCACTGTGATATCTGGTCCCTCGGTATACTGACCTCATTTTGATAAATGGTCCCTCTGTATACTGACGTCACTGTGACAGCTGGTCTCTATGTATACTGACATCACTGTGACAACTGGTCCCTCGTTATACTGATGTCACTTTGATAAATGGTCCCTCGGTATACTGACGTCACTGTGACAACTGGTCCCTCTGTATACTGACGTCACTTTGATAAATGGTCCCTCTGTATACTGACGTCACTGTGACAACTGATCCCTCTGTATACTGACGTCACTGTGACAACTGGTTCCTCGGTATACTGACGTCACTGTGACTACTGGTCCCTCGGTATACTGACGTCACTGTGATATCTGGTCCCTCGGTATACTGACGTCATTTTGATAAATGGTCCCTCTGTATACTGACGTCACTGTGACAGCTGGTCTCTATGTATACTGACATCACTGTGACAACTGGTCCCTCGTTATACTGATGTCACTTTGATAAATGGTCCCTCGGTATACTGACGTCACTGTGACAACTGGTCCCTATGTATAATGACGTCACTGTGACAACTGGTCCCTCTGTATACTGACGTCACTTTGATAACAGGTCCCTCTGTATACTGACGTCACTGTGACCACTGGTCACTCGGTATACTAACGTCACTATGATAACAGGTCCCTCTGTATACTGACGTCACTTTGATAACAGGTCCCTCTGTATACTGACGTCACTGTGACAACTGGTCCCTCTGTATACTGACGTCACTGTGACAACTGGTCCCTCTGTATACTGACGTCACTTTGATAAATGGTCCCACTGTATACTGACGTCACTGTGACAACTGATCCCTCTGTATGCTGACGTCACTGTGACAACTTGTCCCTCTGCATACTGACGTCACTGTGACAATTGGTCCCTCAGTATACTGACATCACTGTGACAACTGGTCCCTCGGAATACTGATGTCACTTTGATAACTGGTCCCTCGGTATACTGACGTCACGTTGCTACTACCTGTCATCCCATGTTTCGGCTGTTTCAATTACTGGATTTTCGCTTATTTTAACCGAAACTAAATTAAATTAATACCGCAAAAAACATTGTTTATTATGAAAATTAAAAAAGTATTTTCAGAATAGAACTATTGTCGATATAGTCGATAATTGCTAGTGCCTTACTGGAAATTTTCCCAGTAAATAAATCATGGGTTTTGTCAAAAGGTTACTGGCTATTAGACGACGAAGCACAATTCAACGTTAAAGATTAAATTTGATAATAAATTATTGTTTAGCTTTGGAGAAGGAATTACAAGCGTGCTTACCAAAATACAAGAGAAACAGTAATAACTGCATTTCTAACTTTCTCAGTTTCTTTCTAGGACTCAGTTATAACACCATCCCAAGGGACAGGTTCTCACTTGGAAGCTATGATAATTACTGATGACGGACAATAACATACACCCAGATAAATGTACATTAGAAAAAACGGATCCTAGTCATGTATGTAGTGCCATAATATCTGGCGCTTTGCGTCCTAAGAGATATCGCATACACAATGAGGATGTGCTGGGGAAAATGGTTGACGGAAAGATTGTAATCGCACAGATTCCAATAGTGTAGTATCTAAATACACGTACACGGATGAATCTTTTATCTAAATAAGACCATCGGTATTTCCCAAACCATTTAATATTTGAATAGCAAACACAGAATCATAGAAATATCTTGACTGAGAACGAAACCACAAAACTTGAAAATATTCCGACATATTCAATCTGCCTTCGTCGGTCCGGAGGTGAGTTACGACCATTATAGACAGGTGAAAATTATATTCACATTTCTTGGCTAAGGTTTTATTTTTTCCTTAATTTACATTACTTCTTCGTGGTGTTTTTATGATAGAATTGATGTTAAATGGACAACATTCTTGTTGGTTGCGTCTTCTGTTCTTTTATCCCCGTGCCAAGTGATCTACATGTTTTACCATCTACAATGCCTTTTACGGTTATATGGTCTTTTTTGGCCATGTAACCACTGAACGATCACTCACCATTGGATTGATAAGGCCGGAATGAATCTGCAAAAATATTTTCTGAAGCATGGTCCGAATTTAAAAGTTAGTGATATGTCAGTGAAGATAATACATGATGACGTCATAATGTAATTAAATTGGTCCTCTGATAAAACCTAACCTAAATCGATTAATTGAGAAAAGTGCAGGTCTTTTAGTCGGTTGTGCGTAACCATGACAATATCAACATGATTTTCATTTTTTCAACATTTTTAATTGGATTATCAAATTTCGTATTTCCATCCTGTGTGTGCTCATTTCACATGCAAATGAACAGAAGGACGTTAGGTCATGACCTACAAATTTAAATCAAGAAAAATCGATATTGTTTTCCGAAAACTTCAAATAACATTACTGGCAATGAAGGCTTTAAAACTTAAAATCAACGTTGCTGTAAAATCGATATTACTTTATTTTGGAAACATCAATATGGACACAGGAGTAAACAGCTTCAAAGACCTGTTTTAAAATCATCATTATCTTTTTTCGCCCATTGACTTTGTGGTAAATACTATTAGAGATGTATGACTGGTTTACTGTTTCAAATAAAACAAACATGACTATTTCAGTGTATTTGAAATACGAATTTCAAATAGATTTAAACAATCGTGCTTTTGCTAAAAATCGAATTAAAAATAAATAGATATGAATGATCTATATTGGCTTACAAAAGTGTCATGAGGGTAAATACGGTATTGTGTTTACATATATATATAGGGTGGTGCTTTTTTTTTTCTACATTTACGGTAGTAGTGTTACAATACACATTTTTTCCACAAGATGGTCAGGGCTACTGAGGTTTTAGTCTCTAAACTTTATTAGCAATCATTGCTCTCGGGTTAGCATTAAGCATCAAAATGTTTAAAATAAGTCTATTTATGGAAACACAAGGTTTAAAATGTTCTAGTAGCGTGCTTGCCAATAGAAAACGCGGAAATTACAGTGAAAAAAATCTGTTATAGCTCAAGAACAATAAAAGATAATTAATTTTAAAAAATAGAATAACTACCCTTGACTATCCTATCCAATTAAACAGAAATCGCGATATCAAATGTAACTACAAATACCTTTAGCTGTCTTGGCATGAAATTTAAAGTTCGTTTGAAAGACACAGCTTTGCCTGTAAAGCTGTCATTCGCAGTAAATTAGGTAAAATTGAATTACGTCATTGTCTGTAAGGATTGGTACTGTAAGCCCAATAAATCACAAACCATTTTTGTCAACAATGTAATTTTTGAACAGACGTCGATTGTTTTTCAAACGAGATTTTGATAACGTGGATTTACTTGTGTTACACCAATGTTCTAACGTCAAACATGTCGATTTCACTTTATTGTTAAGAGATGTACTTTAGTCTACTATTGTTCCTGTCGGTACATCATAATGTGTTCATCCTAAAACACAATTACTGGAAATAAATCAATTTCTTTCTTGGTGATGACAGACAGTACAATAAGATTAGGAGGGATGGGCTTCTTACACTAAAGGGTTTGATACAACTATCGGCCGCTTGCTTTACATTATCCTAGTAAAGTAATGTTTTAAATCAGGTTCTACTCAGAAAATATTCTACTTTT